CATGAGTGCACAAGTTTGAACATCTCAACATGGATGCTCAATACCTGAATGCTTGTGTGTCTGTACTGAAGTTTTATGGCCCTCTGGCTAGATTTTTCTCACACAGGGGATGTTGCAAGTTCCCACATGCCAAAGACAGTGGCAAGAAACGGAGTCAACAGGTGGGCCACAGAGATAAGATTGGACCCACACTGAAACACACTGAACTTGCTTACGCGAGTAAAATCAGCCAGAAGACAGGGGCCCAACTGCACAACAAGCATCCAAGCTGGGACAAAAGAAGATCAACTGAAGATAAAGCATCTCAGAAGTGGACAAACCCTTCATGAAGAATCCAAGGGATCAGAACTTGCTTCTGGGAGTAAAATTGGGCAAAAGGTCAAGAAGTGTCTGACCCAGCCATCAGCAGGAGAGGTGGAACCGAAGGAGGCAGACTGAAAAAAGCTCATCAGGAGACGACAGGCCTTCATGAAGAATCCTGGACTTCGGGAGAAGCTGAAGATCAGTAGCAGAAATGACACCAAATGTCTTGTGTTGAGCTAAAAAGCCTTCAAGAAGAGTCCTGGACTTCGGGAAAAAACACCAAATGTGCTAAAAAGTATGACACTGACAAATGACCCCATTGTCTTGCTGTCATGAGATAATGATGGATGTGTAACTGGAAAACTTTTACTTTGTCTAAGCTGACCCAAGAATAGTATAAAAAGAGCAGCTAGAAGCAGAGCTGACAACAGTTGGGGCAGTCGACAGTGAAAGACAGAGCAGATTTGGGATAGAAGAGGTCGTCCTCCGACGGAGGACGACAGGTCAGTTTTTGGGGAGAGAAGAAGAGAGTCGTACTTCAAGTTAGAGAGTGACAGGTTAGTGTTGACGCAAGTCAACCATTTATTCTCAAGAAGATTTTAGCATTAGCATCCTCCACAGGGGATAGGTTAGTTTTATATTTACTCATTTTGCAATTTTTGAGTGTGTTAGAGGGTGTTAACCTGAAGCTGAAGAAGACTTAAGAGTTGATGCAAGTCAACTCATTATTCTTAGTTAATTATTAGGATTAGCATTTCTCCTTGGGGGAAGTGATCAGTCTTATGTCTACCCATTTTTTGTATTTTTAATCTTATAATAAACTTTTTGAAAAATAATTCACATTCCTGATTCTTAAAGGTCCTCTTTAAAGGTTCGAGTGGGAGCCCCGATCCCGAAACAATAGGAGAGGTAAGCATATTAATTACAGGTTCCTGAATTTTCAGGACTTGCTTTACAGCTTGTGACAGAATAAGAAAAGAAACCTTAGGTGAGGAAATTAGTTTTCCCCTCACCTGTGAGTAATGAGATATCCTAAGGATTGATAAGCCAAAACATTAGTAGGTTAAAATAGGCTCTGTTTGCAAGTGTGAAAAAGTCTCCGCTAGCGTGGGAAGGTTGGATTAATTAGATTAATTGATAAATCTATGTTAGCCTGATCAACTAACAAGAATCATTTTCTAGTTACCACCGCCCACAAAAGCTGACAGAGGCGCAAATTAATCCTAATATAACCCAAAGAACTGTCAGCGACGGATGGCCACCCGCTGAACTTTGCCCTAGTCTCTAAAACCACTAGATAACGGGAGAAATTAAAAAAGAAAGTGTGCTATAACAGAAGAACGAGTATGGCATATCATTTTACCTCAAAATAGGAAACTGATTCTAATTAGGGAGTCCAAACCAGGGTCTAATACAATAAAACTCACCGACGCCCCACGAACCCTGAGAAAGCAGCGCAGTCTTATAGGTTCTAACGGAACCAGGTTTTAAAGGAACCGACAAATAGGACACGCTCGGGACAACAGCAGTTTACAGAGATAGAGAATACAATCAGCTAAATCAGGAATGGGAAACCCTGGTCCTCGAGGGCCGGTATCCTGCATGTCTTTGCTCCAACACTTCTGATTCAGTGGTTCATTCACCTGTTCTGCAGCTCATCAAGCTCTACAGAACCTAGTTAATCACCTGCTGATTGAAATCAGGTGTGATGATGCAGGGTTGAAACTAAAATATGCTGGATAGTGGCCCTTGAAGGACCAGGGTTCCCCACCCCTGAGCTAAATCAACACAATTACAAACTTAAGAAAAGCTATTTCATACATACTGAAATGAATTTACTGTGATGCACAATTCTACAACTTATGGCAGTTTCTGTAAGGAGATTGGGAAGGGTCAGCAAAACCATATAACACACAGAAAACATCAGTTCGGTGTATTGAAACATCAGGTAAATTTAGATTAAAGCTCCAAGGTTCAGACGAATCCTTCAGTGAAGGAGGAAAATGAAGGTGTAATATTAATTTACGCAGCTCTAAATATGGCAGAGCTGAGGCAAACCAGGCATTCTTCATCAAAGGGCTTGTCTGTGGACTGAGAGTCCCGGTTGGAGAATAGGTTAGAAAGTGAGAGTCCTCTTCCGTTGATCAGGATGGTTTCAGTCTTACGTTGATAAGTATCTTGAAGTCCAGGTCCGGAGCATAATAACATCGTTCGGAACATGAAGCGCAAAGTTCAACTTCTCAATAGGAAGACTTCAGGGTCCTTCCAGGGTGTGTCGAGGCGGTTGTCCAATTGTCAGGGAGCTGATCTTGGCCCCGAAAAGGTCCTACAGGTCTTTGACCATGAAACCAGTCTGGAGATTTAGGTGCAAGTGCTTGAAGTAGTTATCCTTCCCAGCGTCTCTTCTTCGCTGTGTCCTGTTGTAGTTGCGTCCAGGGGGTCTTCAGCCGAGGTGGATGCAGGTTATGTCGTCCTGTAGGTACGTGGTCAGGGAGGAGCCCCAATCCGTCGTTTCAGTTCCACTTCTAGTACCCCCTCAAATGCTGCTGTCTCAGTTGTTCCATCAGGTGCTGAGAGGTGGCCCAAGTGCAGGGCCATGACTGCAACCACCAACATCAACAATGTGGTGAACCCAGCAAGCTTGAAGCAGATCTTTATCTTATCTTGATCTTATCTTCACCGGGTTTGAGAGGTGGCACTCTAGTGGTGGTCCACCCCTTTGTAGTCGGACTTCATTGCCGCGCTGGAGCGGTTAGTTGTCGTTGATGAGCTTGCAGTGGGATAGATGAATCCAAGATGGCCTCTCAGCAATCTTCACAGCAGCGGGGGTAATGAGGAGTAGTTCGAATGGACCTCTTGCTGCCCCATCTGTTTCGCTTCAGCACCTTCATCAGAACCCAATTTCCTGGTTTCACGACCTGGGGGCGACAAAGCAAAAGAAAATTTCTGGGAGATCACTGTTGATTTTGAACTGTTTTCAGCAAAAATCCTTATCATCCAATATCTATAGTAATTCCATCCAGGCAGTATAATAATGTGAGGAAATTGTTATCAGCCTCTCCTCCTCTTGAGGCAACTCAGGGCTCACCAGAAACAAAACATAACCAAAAGGGTCCGATACTGGCAAGCATAGTTTCAAGTGTACAAACTCAGTTTTTAATGTAAAGCATTTACTTTATACTTTCATTCAGCAGCTATTTCTCAAAACATTTCTGATTTCTGCTTCAGCCTCTTTGCTGATAGAATATTGTCTTACTTGAGACCAAGGTCTGTTATAATATGTACGTTTTTCTGATACGACCTTGCTGTTTAACCCAGACACAGAGGAACGTGAAATTCAGTGCCAAAGCATTTAAAAGTTCCCAAGCTGGGAATACATAAAGAATTAAACCAATTTAAACTTTTTAAATGTAAATTCCCTACAGCAGCTTTAAACTGCTGTCTCATTTAATTTTACTTCCAGACTGTTTCTCCCCATGTTCTGATCATAAAGCCTGCTAATTGGAGATCTGAAAAAGTTCCTACATTTGACAGATGCCAGGAGATTCAGATAACGACAACCGATATTTTAGTGTTCAAAATGCAGTTTTGAATCCAACAGGTACTGCACACCAGATTATATTCACCCGGGTGCAACTGTCATCCGCTGAACTCCCTTGTCTTGGTTTTAAGCATCAGAAACAAAGACAAAAAAAATAATAATTGAAAATAAACAACAAAATAAGGAGATAAAATGCAATTTGACAATAGTCATAGTCAAATAATGTCATCGTTTTGTTGATCTGGAATTATTGTTAAATCACACAGTCAATTTCCCAGCCCAGGGGTTGCAACTAAAAACCTACATGCTTAGCTATTATTTGGGCTCCCTTTCTACTACCAAGTGCTGATAGACAGTTAATGTCTCAAACTGAGGGGTTCCACTAAAACCCTTTCCCTTTCAGCCACTAAAAGTGACACAGTTTATAGTTCAAATAATTTTAATCACCAGATACCATAAATGAAATATTTGGGTCGTGTCTAACCTTTTGATGCACGAATTATGAAATCTTCAACCATGATTTCTTAACAATTATTCTCATTCATCTTTGGGTGTGAATGAAACAAATTTCAACAAATATTGTTTGTAACCTTTAATAAGTTGCAAATAATTTAATACATGTTCACCTCAGTGGACTGCGTGCATTCTGAACATGCAATATGTTGACTGGACTTACTGAAGTCCGCACAGAGGGTCTCAATGCAATAAAACACTCAACAGCTGTGCTTAATAGCAAAAACAAATAAGTAAATCACAATTTTGAGAAACTGTCCACTGTAGTGACCATTTTGCAACAAGGAGTTAACTTTTATCATTATGCTCTAGTTAAGTAGCCTCAGGCCTCAACTGACCTTGGTGGCTCAACAGAGCACAGCTGCGGCTGTTTTGATTTTTTTTAGGCAGGCCTTGCCTCCTCTCTGTTTCACATTTTCAATCCTTTTCCTCTCCACCGCTCTGTGCTTTCTCGTAAACATAATTTGCATTTATGACACGTCAGCGGTTATCAAAATCACGTTTTCCACCAACACTCTGATAATTTCAGACCAGTTCCACGTTTCCTGCATTGACATTTCCATCAGTCTACAATATCAACTCAAAAGGTATTTTGTGAGTTCTTTTTTCCCCCATATAGATACCACACCATCTCTTCTTCGGCATGAGGTCAGATTCAGGCTTACGAATCTGCCCTCCAACTGTGTATCTAACACTTATCAGCCAACCAGTTTAAAAATCTGACCACCAACTTGAAACGTGTGCAAATGATTTGCCATATCCTTCTTTCTGCACGAATAAACAAGTCCAGACACTATCTCATCCATTCGAACAACACTTAAAGCAGACAATATCTAACCCCTCCTTTCCACTGGAGCCGTGACGGAGCCGTCAGCAGCACGTTACTGCAGCAGCACGTCATAGCTGCTGATAGGAACCGCTGTGGTCAACAGAACCTTTTCCACCGGAGCCGTCAGCAGCGCGAGTCGGACGTGTCTCAGGAGCAGCATGTCGTGGCCCTTACGCGCCGGTTCTATTTTCTACGCACTACGCCTCTGAAACGGGTCAAGTTTGACATTTTTGGGGAAGGAAAGACAGGAAATCAGACGCGGAAAGGGAGCGAAGCTTCCCGAGATTTTCAGAATAAAGAAACGTACTGCCTTCCGGTTGTTTTACTTAAAAAAAAAAAAGGTTATCACCTAGCTAGCGGTCTCCTTTGTTTAAAAGGACAGAACATAAAACACAAACCTTTTGGAGCCATGTTGTAGTTTTCACCTGCTTGTTGTTGTGTTTACTGATGAAGTCACACGTGATTTTGCTAATGTCACGTGACATCGTGCTCTGTCAGTGACAGCTGCTCCCCTGCTGCTTCACGTCTCATGGGAAGGGCCAAGCAGCAGCACACGCGAGCAAGACGTGCTGCTGCAGTAACTTGCTGCTGACGGCTCCGGTGAAGAGGAGGGGTGAGACAACAAACAACAACACAGATAACTATAGAGTTGCGTTTCTATTCAAGGCAAAAACGTTCAAAAACCCAATTTAACCTCTTAGTTACCACACCGGTCCATTCATTTAACGTTCATTTCACGTTTATAACTTCATCACACCAGGGTTGCATTTATATTTTGGCAAAAACGCCCACAAAAACCAAGTCAATAGAGCATTTCCGGAATCTGTTTATCTTTCTCTCTGACCATACCAGAACAGCATATTTTCCGGCTAAAACGCCCCAAAACCAATTTAACCCCTGGTCACCTAGGATTTTCTCTCTGTACCACAAGACAAAGCGACAAAAAACAACTTGTCTCACCAAATCTCTCCACTCAGGGCTTGAGTTCGTGGATCCGCATTCCTCCTAATGACGTCAAGACTCACGACCCCCCAGCAAACTCAGTGCTGGAGGAGATTAGGTTGTCGACAGTCCTCCGGCATCTGTTCTTGGCGCTGCAAGGTGATGGGACCCCGGCTTTCGAAGGACCAAATAATGTCATGGATTGCTACTAACTGTATGAACAGTCATCCAAATGCACGGCTATTTTACAAAACAACAATGGGATATGCAGTGCAAATTGGTAAAAATCTTAGCTCCTACACCCCTAAAAATGGACTTCTTTGCATGCACCTGGATCGAAAAGCAATCTAGGAGGAGGCCTGAGTAGACATCAGAATTGCTGGCAGTCTTGGAGAGCCTTTTGGAGACTCATACCATGACATTCTCACCATTACAGCTGTCAGTCATTGAGGCAGTCTGCCATACACTGATCAAGCAAATACATAATTTTTCTAAATAAAGGACCAAACTACCACTTTGACTCAACGAACAGCCCAAGTCTAAAGAGTAGGGCTGCAACAAACGATTATTTGGATAATCGATTAATCGGATGGGGTCTCGACACGATTAATCGATTAATCGGATTACATGGGGAAATTTTTAAAAACTGCTAGGGAAACGTTATTTCTCTCCTTCCTTCACTTTATTTAACACAACATTATTAGAAAACAGTTCAATAGCAGAAAAACAACATGCCATCACCTAAATTGTCTTATAAGGTGTATAGACAGAGACCCTAAGCTACATCTATCTGTGACCTAAAATGCTTGGTCCAAGTTAAACAGCTTAAGGGCAATTCTCATCTGTTTTGTTTGATCTCATCTGTTGACATTTATTTTAAATGTAATTAAACATAGGCTGCGAATTAATCAAAATTGATCACTATTTCCAAAAATGACTGAAAAAATACCAAATAAAACAAAAGTAAATGAATGCCATCCTCCTTGCGATGATGCCCTGGGCAACTGCCATAAAGTCACATCAAGAAATGCTGCTGATCATTCCAATGATCCCAAATAGACTCACATTAGGCCACATGAAAGCAACTGAACCCAAAAATATATTAACCAGTATATAACTGCACTCTCACACAACACGCCTGCAGCAACAGTTAGGACTCCTCCCTCCCTTTTAAAAGTGTTTTTGCTTCCGAGGACATTGTGGTTGTAAAACCACATGCTAGTGGTCTGGCCCCGGTGTGATGAACCAGTTTCTGCGGGAATGTGACGGCGGAACCAGGGCCAGATTAACACTTTGTTGTACCCTGGGCAACAATATTCAAGGGCTCCATCATCACGACCCAAGGATCACCATAATGTGGTCACATACAGAATATTTTACTGTAATATGCAGTAAATATACTCAATACTTGAATGCCTGACAACACGTAACCCGCCCAGAGTAACCTTTGACCCACCTCGTGTGGACTGACCAATGAGGAGAGGGTCTTAACTTGAGGCCCTCTCTTCATTGGTCAGTCTGCATGAGACTGACTCTCAACTGACGTTCAGTCGTAGGCAGCGAAGCGTCTCTCTGCAGCGCAAAAGCCCGGGTGGACAGTTTGTTTAATGTAGGGTGACCATATTTCCATTTCCAAACAAGAGGACAGGGGATCTGTGCCTATGACGTCACACTATGGCAACGCCACACAAACCATGTTGGGACCCATTTTTTGTAAGAACTAAATTAATATCAGATTCTGCCAATTAAAGGGCTCTAAACAATTCATATGTAAATATTTTGCATATTTAATGCAAAATCTAATTTTTCTGCTTTAGTGCTGCAACAAGGTTTTATTAATAATAAATTATTATACCTTTTGTTTTACTACAGCATCGGTAAGTTTCCTGTGCACGATTATTAAGGATGCTTGTTTCAGCTGTGAGATTAGACGATAGGGTCAATGAAAAAATAAGTTGTCACACACTCCATGGAAACTTTCAGAGAATCCACAAATAGTGGCTTTCAAATGGTTTTGTTACTTTTAGCAGGTTTAGAAAAGCAGCAGATGAGACAGCATGTCTGATAATTTAGTTTTTCATCTGATAATATTAGAACATGTCAGTAATGTCTGAGGGGCTTTTATAAACACTGTATAACTAACACTACTGGAGAGGGCATGAATTACACAGAGGCTTCTGGGGAGCCCAGTTATTGGGGGGGGGGGGGGGGGGCATTTTGCCTTGGCCCCCAACATGTCTTGAAACGGCCCTGGGTGTGTGACTGAGTTTTGAAGGTGATCTGAATTGTATCAGATGTATAAATATGACATGTGTATAACTTATTGTTTTTTACTGGTAAAAACGTGTAGTGGAGGTAAATCTACCTACATTTGACTTTTCAACACTTTGTTTTGTTTTCTTGTTTTTATTTAACTATTTTCCTGTCCTGTCTGTCTCTCATCTTCCTGCATCTCCTCTTAATTCTCCAGAAAATCTGTTGCCTGGATTCTTACCTTTTCACCTCATCGGTTACTTTTGAGCAGATCAAAGGGATCTCCTGACCGAAAAGCTCAGAGCGCGTTTTCGATGCTGCGTGAGGTGACATCACCACAGCACAGGTGATGAGCTCCGCAGTAGCGAGCTTCAGGCACAAATAAGACAGAAAATAGAGAACATGTGCGGACATGAACGATCGTGTGCAAACTATAGTTTTTTGGTTGCGCCACTTTGAGAATGTGCGCTGGAAGCAGCTGCCTGGATCGTTGCGCAACAATGCGGAACCGGTTCGCAGCAGCGCAAGTCTGCCGGCTCTCCCTCACGCTGATCTGCGGCTCTCCCTCGCACTGATCTGCCGGCTCTCCCTCGCGCTGATCTGCGGTTCTCCCTCGCGCTGATCTGCGGTTCTCCCTCGCGCTGATCTGCCGGCTCTCCCTCGCGCTGATCTGCGGTTCTCCCTCGCGCTGATCTGCGGTTCTCCCTCGCGCTGATTTGCTGGCTCTCCCTCGCGCTGATCTGCGGCTCTCCCTCACGCTGATCTGCGGCTCTCCCTCGCGCTGATCTGCCGGCTCTCCCTCACGCTGATCTGCGGTTCTCCCTCGCGCTGATCTGCCGGCTCTCCCTCGCGCTGATCTGCGGTTCTCCCTCGCGCTGATCTGCGGTTCTCCCTCGCGCTGATCTGCCGGCTCTCCCTTGCGCTGATCTGCGGCTCTCCCTCGCGCTGATCTGCCGGCTCTCCCTCGCGCTGATCTGACTTGCTCTGGTCTGCGCGCAACAGCGGGCGGGAAGGGGGGGCGCTTTTGGAAGAGTTGTGCGACACAACGAATCGATGACGCAATTCGTTGCCAACGCTTTTAGTAATCGATTTTCATCGAATTTATCGATTCGTTGTTGCAGCCCTACTAAAGAGTAAGGTTGATGCCAAAGTGCTGCTATCTTTGATAATGAAACTGTAAACTAAAAATAGTGAAGGTTCTCAGTCATTCAAGTCATGATAATCCAAAAGGGTTTGAATTAGGGATGAGCCGGATACTCGTCTGAAACGAGTATCCGGTACGGATAAAGCATTTTTGACGAGTACGAGCATGAAACGAGTAAAACTCGTAAATATCTGTAATCGTGCTGAAGGAAAATCCTCATTGGGTAACTGACTGTCTTCACGCTCTGTGATTGGCCAGTCAAATAGAGCGCCCACCCCTCCCTACACACAAAACTCTCTAGCCGGCTGGGAGCGCAGTCCGTCCGGCTCATCCACGCACACACACAGACAGTAACGGATCTCGCTGTGATTGCTTCACTGTTGCTCTCGTTTCTTCAGTTTTCCTTAGGTTTTCTTCAGCTCGCCTCTTTTTCGGTTGAATATTTAAAGTTACTTTTTTCGTAACTGACATGGTGCATTTGACAAGACAGAGCTGACGTGCTGCATCAAGTCACTACGTCCGCTCCGGTCGGGTTTTTTATTTTTTTTACTCCCTCTCTCTCCCTCTCACCCTCTCTTTCTCTCTCAGACACACACACCACAATCCACTTTGTTTTGTTTAACTTTGTGTGGGAAAATGCCAAGAACGTTAAGAAAAAAATCAGTTTAATCAAATTAAAAAGAAAAAAAATACATAAAGTTGTGTCTGGTTCTAGCATTTCATATTTTCTAGTTCCTACTGCATGAGTTCAGCTGTATTAATCCATGCACTTAAATATTAATGTTCTGATTTTATTGAAAAACTTGTTCTGTAGGAGTTTCTTTACTATTGTGATCAAAATATTTAATCTCAATTCTGAGGTTGCTCTGTAAATAGTTTTCAAATAAACAATACACATATCAACTTCTGATCAATCCATATCAATTTCAGACTTAAAATAATATATTGATGTAAACCACACCCACTTCCGATTAAATCACGCCCACTTCCGGGTTATGCCACGCCCATTCCAAGTACAGATACAGATAAAGATAGTGGTGTACTCGCTCATCCCTAGTTTGAATGAAGGCATCTGGACTTCTTTAGTTTCTCTTTTCATCCGAAGAACTTTGTTATTATGACTGGAATATGGGAGAGTCAAGCGTATAAACCAGTGGCGGCTGGCCAGTAGAGGGCGATAGGGCGCCGCCCTCCCAAATTTTCCGTGTTTTTAATTTTTATTTAAAAAAAAAAATAAATAAAATTAACAATAATCACATATTCTAAGTTAATTGTGTGTTTTGTAACAAAAATAAATCATATATATATATATCTATATTGGTCTCTGCTGGTCTCTGCCGATCTCTGCCGGTCTCTGCCGAGCGGTGGAGGCTGTGTGCTGTTTTTCAATCGCCCAAACAGGACGAGACAGCTGTCCAATTGCTGACAAGAATATCAAAGGGTAGGAATGGGAATATATCCAATCAGCGTCGACGTTGTTTCAGAACGTTTCAGAAGCATGATGGGCGATGGAGCTACCGCCAAAGGTTTCGTTGGTGTTCGGTAGAACTCGGCAGAGTCGTTTTTGGTCGTGACGCAGATGTAACATGGACGCCGCCAGTGACTACAACCAGCATGGATACCGGATCTCAGCAGCCACTGAATTCAGTTCGGTCTCTTCTCCAGTATCCGTTCGAGAGGAGAACTATGGTGGAAAAACTTAATGTCAAAGAGCTTGGACCAGATCAGCCCGACGTAAAGATAAGCCAGCAGGAGAAGGAGAGAGGTAAACTGTACACACTAGGCTTCTCCCGAAATTGGTACACCAGGAAGGCTTGGCTAGCTGGATGCAATCACGCTAATGCGTTATTTTGCTTTCCGTGTTTGTTATTCAAAACGGCTGGGACAGATAAGGCATGGATGAGTCAGGAGTTACAGACATGAAACATTTTTCTGAGAAGGTGAAGAAACACGAGTCATCCCGGGCACACATGGACAACAACACGGTGAAGCTAGCCATGCTAGGCAGAGCTAACGTTGCCATGCAGGGAACAACAGCAGCTGGGTGCAGAGGTAAGCTGTACATTACATTTGTGTGAACAAGACAATCAGAATCAGAAATCCTTGGTTGTCCCACAAACCGGGACATTTGTTTAATAACATGTTTAATGTGCAATAACTGTAAAAACTAATTTCAACACACATACTTATTATACATATTTAATCACGTAAATGTGTGTATTTCATGTAAATTTGTACACACATCAATCTGATTCCATTTTACTTGTTACACTTCTGCTGCAGCAAACAAATTTCCCAGCTTTTGGGACAATTAAACATTTCTGATTCTCAATTAGATGTTTTTACCTCAAATGTAAAAACATCTGATTGAGAATCAGAAATGTTTTATTGTCCCAAAAACTGGGAAATATGACATTTGTAAGAGGATACTGATGACATTATTTCCTATGAAAGTGTTTTCTATGTACTTATCTGTTGTTTTTTATTTATCATATGACAGGTTTTTCACACCATCCTGAGCCATGCAAAAGAAGATTCTTGTCACCACACCCATGACCACAGCCGAATCAGAAAGGTGCTTTTCTACTTTAAAGAGGATTAAGACTTTCCTTGAGGAACACCATGACACAGGATGGGCTGAATGCTCTTGCCATGCTCTCCATGGAAAAAAAGCTTGTCACAAACATTCCTGACTTCAATAAAAAGCTAATCGAGAGCTTTACCACTCAGAAGGACAGAAGGGCAAAATTTCTGTACAAATGAGGTATCACACACACACAAATGCATCCACTTGATCTTTGTATAAAGTTGACCTTGGCACAACACTCCAGAAATATTTAACAGTGACAATTTCTGGCATTTTGTCTAAGTGGTGTTTACTACCATTACTGTAACAGTGACCTGCTCATAATTTTTCGTGTTCACTCAAATGTTGAAATTAAACAAAATGTTTTTGTTACTTCCCTCTTGCATTGCCTATTTACCATTTATGGTCATGTTATTTTATGTGCAATTTAATGCAGTATTTTTCAACCTTGGTCTGCAAGGCAGTTTGCCAATAGTCAGACACACCTGGATTAATCAGTTTGTCCAATGATGTAAGACAGGAAATAAAAGAGCTGTGCTTAATTCAGGAAATAGTGAAGTTGTGCACAAAGCTCAGAAAGCACAAGTTTGTTTAAAAATAAAAAATAGCACAGCCCCACCAAAAATATTTTTCACCAGCCGCCACTGGTATAAACTGTAGGTTTCTATATTTGCTTAACGAGCAGAAACTACCTATGAATACGCCTCTTCTCTGCCTCCTGAGGAGTCGTTATACTGTTCTCTGTTTCTTCTTGTCTATTTTTTGAGATTTTACAATATTTTTGCTCTTCCTTCTCTCTGTCATTATCTTCTCTCTCCCTTTCTGTCTTCTTTTTTTGACCAAACCCTCCATCTCTGACACTTGTTTTCCTGCTTCTCATTGCTGTCCTGTCCTCTCCTAACCCAGGTGCTGTCTCTAGGTGCAGATGTATTGCCAGAGTACAAGCTTCAAACTCCTCGCATCCACAAGTGGACGGTATTGCACTATAGCCCTTTTAAGGCTGTGTGGGACTGGCTCATTCTGCTACTGGTTATTTACACTGCCATCCTGACTCCTTACTCAGCTGCCTTCCTTCTCAATGACCAGGTGGGCTATAGCCTCATAGATAACCTGTCTCAAAGTGTCACTATAATCATCTAATGAATCCAAAATTGTATAGTACTATAAACTCTGTTTTGTTGTTAACTGCTTCAGATGGTCTTACTCCTTTTGTTTCACTCTGTAGTGAGCTTCAGAAATACTTCTATCACAAACTTGCTGATATTAGACTTAGCCTTCTTCCCCTGAAACACACCTGCCTCTTGGAATCACCAGCTCCTCCTGCTCTCTCTCTAATTTTGCTCCTGTTCATTTTCATGACCTTGAGAAACTGATTAGTTCCTTAAAACCTGCTGGATATCCTGTGGACTGTCTTCCACCAAAGCTTATGCGTGACCTTCCAGTTCTGGGTCCAGCCATTCTCAAGATTGTGAACGCCAGCCTCACTACTGAAGTATTTTCTATGACCTTCAAAGAAATAGTTGTACAGCCGATTTTGAAGAGGCCTGGCTTGGATTATTCGAACTACGACAACTTATGCCCAATTTCTAAAGTCCCATTTTTATTGAAGATTTTGGAGAAAATTGTTCACTCGTAAATCATAGCCCACATGGAGAATAATTTGCTGTTTGATGTGTTTCAATCAACTTTTAGACAGCCCCATAGCACAGAATCTACTCTTATTTTAGTGCTAAATGATATTTTGGTTGCGTCTGATTCAGGTTCTCATGTGCTGCTGCTGTTAGTGGATCTGTCAGCAGCTTTTGATACCACTGACCACCACATCCTGTTGGATTGCCTTGAAACTTGGGTTGGTCTTACAGGTACTATTCTGGACTGGTTTTGCTCTTACCTGGCAAACAGGTCTTTCTGTGTGCGGATTGGTGATTGTGCCTCACCCTCCCTCCCGTGTGATGCAAGGTTCGGTCTTGCGGCTCTTCCTATTTTCTATCTATCTACTCCATTTGGGAAAGATTTTTGAGAGGAATGATATCAGTTGGCGACCAATAGAAAAAACACAGACTCGCTACTGTTACAATGTCTCTCAGAGGTGAAGGGATGGTTAGCGGCCAACCCTTAGACTAAATGAGCTCAGGACTGACTCAATTATTTTTTAACCAAAAATTGTACCTCAGTTTATCTGCTGTCAATCGTCTAAACTTTGACCTCAAACAGTGTGTGACCAATCTGGGGGTGAAATTAGATAGTGGGTTCTCGATGGTCCCTCAAACAAATGTGATGGTAAAATCCAGTTTTTTTTTTCAACTGTGCCACCTAACTCACTTGAAGCCTATTTTTATTTAATTTTTTTAATATATTATTTATATATTTTCAGTTGCACAGCTAATATAAATGTCAACAGTGAAGATACAAATGAAGACATTTAAACTAAGAATGCGAGCTACAGATCTGTCCTGTCAGAACCAGATCAGTTCCTGCAGTGAACCCTACTCCCTGGTTTACTGACATAATTCACAGCCTGAAACGCCAATGCAGAAAGTTGAGCGCCTGTGGAAGAAAACCCATCTCCATGTCCATCTGCTGCATCTAAAGGATCTTCTGGCATCCTTTAACTCTGCAGTCAGAGACACGAGGGTTTCCCATTTCTCCAACCTGGTGTCCCAGAGCAAAGGGAACCCCAAGGTGCTGTTTAACACCATCAGCAGCATCGTCTCTCCTGCCTCTCCTACAGCCTCCATCCACTCTGTTACAGACTGTGAAAACTTTCTGTCTTTCTTTGTGGACAAAGTCAATAAGGTTAGATCTAGCATCTCTCCCTCAGCCTTATCGCTGCCTCTCCCATCTCCAACCAGGCCCATCATCCTAGATAGCTTTGCTCCAGTTTCTTTGCCTGAGTTAACCAAACTAGTTAACTGTATGAAGACCTCTGCATGCCCCCTCGACATCTTACCCTCATCATCCCAGTGTGATCTCTATGATTAATGCTTCTCTGGTTTCTGGTCAGGTCCCTGCTTACTTTAAGAACGCTGTAATCCTGCTTCTTAAAAAACCGAGTCTTGACCCCTCTCTCCATAGCAGCTTCAGACCCATCTCTAAACTTCCGCTCATCTCCAAGATCTTGGAAAAGGTTGTGACGAAACAGCTCACAGCTGCTCTTGATGAACAAAATATCTATGATAGCTTCCAGTCAGGTTTTCGTAGAGCTCATTCTACTGAAACAGCTCTTCTTAGGGTCTCAAATGACCTTCTGACTCACAGTGATGCAGGGGACTGATCTGTTCTGGTCCTGCTGGACCTGACTGCAGCCTTTGACACTGTTGACCATCACCTGCTACTGGAGAGGCTGAGAGACTGGGTAGGCCTATCAAGATCTGCTCTGGAGTGGTTCTCCTCATATTTTTCTGAGCCAAGCCCCCACAATGCGGCTCAAAAATTGAGGCCAACCCGGAAGTACCAAAAATTGCAGTGCCACCCTCATCCGCTGGGGGTTGGTGTCAGAAGCGAGCAAATCCTCATTGACTCCCATGTTAAAAATACCAATTTCACAGCAGAAATAAACATGTTTACAGCCTGGTACCAAAACATATTTTTGGTTTAAATGATCTAGTTTACACTCATGACAACTCTGAGGGGGGTGAATTTTTTTCTCACTCTTCTGTTTAAGTGAATTAAAAGCCTAAAATTCTGTATAATTAATGAGCATCAGACCCACGTGACCACAGAGCTAGCTTCGTGGAAAGGCCTCAGTAGAGCCTTGGTCTGGCTTGGAAACTGTTCCGGGATTTTGAGTCTCTGTGTTTGTGTATTCTTTTTTGGATATTTTTTGTGCAATTGTTGGACAAAATGACTTGCTGTGGCATTAATTGCACTAACAGAGCGCCCAAGGAGTCTCCACTTCATTTTGTCAGTAAGTAAAATTATATTTAAGTATTTTAGGTCACTGCCGAGCTGAGCTTAGATTTTAACATGTGCTGTTTAACCATGAAATTTAAATGCAATAGGGTAAAACCCAGTGCATTTAACATAATGCTGCACTTCAGAAAATGGGTTGAAATATAACATGTTGGTGGAGCTGGGTTCCGACTATCGGCTTGTGGAGCTCTCGGGAGACCGATGTTTTCCACCCGGTTCTCCCCTCCCTGCAGCTCGGCGCATCTCTGTCTGATCGTGGCTTCTGTCTGCTGCGCGGGCTGCCGGCCGGCTTGTGGTTCTCCCCTCCCCGCAGCTCGGCGCATCTCTGTCTGATCGCGGCTTCTGTCTGCTGCGCGGGCTGCCGGCCGGCTTGTGGTTCTCCCCTCCCCGCAGCTCGGCGCATCTCTGTCTGATCGCGGCTTCTGTCTGCTGCGCGGGCTGCCGGCCGGCTTGTGGTACTCCCCTCCCCGCAGCTCGGTGCATCTCTGTCTGATTGCGGCTTCTGTCTGCTGCACAGGCTGCCGGCTTTCAGCAGCTTTCGGGAGACCTCTGTGTTCCACCCGGTTTTACCCAGCGGTCAGTGTTGTGCACAGTTAACTCCTGTTGTAGCTAGGTTGCTACCTCCGTTAGCTTAGCTCCCACCTCTGCGTTAGCTTTGGGTTAGCTTCAGGTGAGCTTGTAGCTAGTTTGACCGGGTGTCGTCAGTTGATCCCAGCCTTACAGCCACACCCTCAGCTCCACCTCTCTTCCCTTTTGTGGAATTGTCTGGGCTTGACGGAACCTGTGACACAGTCAAAATGGCAGTGGTGGCCACCTCCCATTTAGCCTCAAAAACGTGTTATTGGAGCCTATGGAAATGAATTGTCCAGTATATATGTCGATGTTCTGAGCGCTCCTTTTCTGTGGCCGTCTCCAAGTTTAGGTCCTCCACCACCTCTCGTACCCATGGTGTCCCACAAGGTTCTGTGCTGGAGCCTCTGCTCTTCCTCCTCTATTTGCTTCCTCTTCAGCACATCCTGAGCTCCTTCAAAGGAATCTCCTACCATCTTTATGCAGATGACATCCAACTGTACATCTCCTTTAAGCCTCATGAAATGTCTAAGCTGCAGCTGTTCCACACCTGCTTAGACTCTATTAAAACCTGGATGGCTGGGAACTTTCTACAGCTGAATGAAGATAAGACTGAGATCCTCCTTTGTGCCCCAGACAAGCTGGTTCCCAAAGTCAGAGACTCTCTTCGTCAGCTTTCTTCTCACACCAAACCTTCTGTCAGCGGTGTGTCCGGCGTGGAGTCTGGTGAGACCATGGAGACCATGGAGCAAGACTTCTGTACAGCTTCGAGGAGATTCTGGTCCACCATCCAGCACCTCAGGAGGGGAAAGCAGTGTGCTACCAACACTATTTATAGTTGGGACGGTGTGCTGCTGACCTCTACTCGGAACGTTGTGGATCAGTGGGCAGAATCATTCAAAGACCTCCTCAATCCCATCAACATATCTTCCAGTGATGAAGCAGAGTCAGGGGATTTTGAGTAGGGCTCTCAAATCTCTGGTGCTTAGGTCACTGATGTTGTGGGGCTGTGTTGGCAGATGCAGCTCTGAAATATTGTGTAGTGAATTGGGGGTTTAATTATGACCAATAAGATGTGATAATTCCATATAAATATTAAATATCATCCTGGTTGATCTTTGAATGTTTAACCAGAAGAATTTAGGATTATTTGCTTATTCAGGGACCATAAACACACTTTGTATTAATTCAGACAGAGTCAAGTATATAATTAAAAATAAACTTTATTTTCTAGACTAATTAAAACATGACAAGCTATGACTCCTCCCTGGTGAGGTTTTTCGGGCACGTCCAACCGGAAGGAGACCTAAAGGTAGACCCAGGACACGGTAGAGGGACTATGTCTCTCACTTGGCTAGGGAACGCCTTAGGATTCCCCCAGAGGAGCTGGCCCAAGTGGCTGGGTAGAGGGAAGTCTGAGCCTCTCGCCTTAGGTTACTGCCCCCGTGACCCGACTCCGGATAAGCGGATGAAAATGGATGGATGGAAATGGCATTGTTTTACTGAACAATCACACAATAATAAATGACAGTGCATTAAGTGCCAACCACAGCCTTAATAAATGTGTTGAAAATGCTTAAGTCCATACTTAAGAGAGCACCATGTGAGCACCTGTGTGTGCACACAAGCTTTTATATGATTTTCGCTAGCTTAAGCATTTTTCCTTTGCAAGTTAGCTGCCATCAAGGCTGTGACGGGACCTACAAACCACCGTAGAGGTGAAGGCTAGACTGTTCGAATTCTGAGCTGCTGGGTTCTGGTTTTAGCGGCCGAGCAAGGACCCGGCCTTGCTATACCGGTGAGAACCCGTCCTCACAAGCATCTTTTCCCTGGATTCGGACATACCCATAGTCTCTCCAACGTGTTCTTGTTCTCCCTTTAGGCATCCTCCCGGTTGGACGTGCCCGGAAAACCTCATGAGGGAGGCGTCTAGGAGGCATCCTGACCAGATGCCTGAGCCACTTCAACTGGCTCCTCTCGATGTGGAGGAGCAGCATGTCTACACCGAGTCCCTCCCAGATGACTGAGCTTCTCACCCTATCTCTAAAGGATTCCCAGCCACTCTGTGGAGAAAACTCATTGCGGCAGCTTGTATCCGTGCTTTTGTTCTTTCGGTCACTACCCAACGCTCATGACCATAGGTGAGGGTAGGAACATAGATCGACCAGTAAATCAAGAGCTTCACCTTCTGGCTTAACTCTCTCTTCGCCATGACAGACCGGTACAATGTCCGGATCACTCCAGATGCATATTATCATTATCTTAAGTGCGTGAAAGTGATGGCAGCCACGGTTATAATGAAATTAAAATAAAGGTGTGCTTCCTTTCATTCAAGTCTGGTTTTGAAGCCCTGTACCTTTGGAGGCTTAGATCTTGTGGAACACTTTATTCTTGAGTGACATTTTCTTGCTTTGTTGTCTAAGTTGTGGAAATTAATGTTAATATTAATCCTTTTGAAACATACAGTCTATTTTTAGTGCTTTAGATTATGACCCTCCTCAGCTGTCTGCACATGTTCTTCCTGTTGTTCTCTAATCCTCTTTTCACTTTGCATTTCTGTCTCCCAGGAGGAGGTAGCCCAGCAGAACTGTGGTTACTCCTGCTCTCCTCTCAACGTGTTGGACCTCATTGTGGACATTATGTTCATTATTGACATCATCATCAATTTCAGGTCAGTTAAACTGTTGTGTTTAGTTTTCTTTTTACTTTATAAAGGCCCCTCATGATGATTTCAGTAAATGGAAACAGTGCTCCTTTATCTGGATGCGGGTCACTGGGCCCTTTTCTGGAGTCAGGCCTGGAGCTGGGGTTAGTGTCTGGAGCCCAGTAAGGCACAGCCCAAAGAAGAGACATGGGTCCCATTTTCTATGGGCTCACCACTCAAGGTAGGGACCAAATGGGTCGGATGCAGTGTGAGATGGGTAGTCAATGGTGGGGAACTTGGCGTTCTGATCCTCTACGGAAGCTGGCTCTCGGCACGTGGAATGTCTCACCTCTCTGAAGGGGAAGGAGCCAGAGTTGGTGTGTGAGTTTGAGAGGTTCCGACTAGATATAGTTTGTCTCACCTTGATGCACAGCTCTGGTTCTACAACCAGTTTACATGAGAAAGTTTGGACACTCTACCACTCTGGCGTTGCCCCCACTTAGAGGTTGAAGAAGGGGTGGTCATACTTGTTGCTCTCCATCTTGGTGCCTGTACATTGGGGTTTACCCCAGTGAACAATAGGGTAACCTCCCTCTGCCTACGTGTGGGAGGATGGGTCTGGACTGTTGTTTGTGCTTATGCACCAAACTGCAGGTCAGACTACCTTTGAAGGAGGTGCTGGAGAACACTCCTTTTGGGGACTCCATTCTCCTAGAGAACTTCAATGCTCACGTGGGCAAGGACAGTAAGACCTGAAAGGGTGTTGTTGGGAGGAATCCCCCCCCCCCCCCCCCCCGATTTGAATCCAAACAGTGTTTTGTTACTGGACTTCTGTGCTTGTCATAGATTATCTATAATGAACACCATTATGACATCAATTGAACGGCAGTAGCTCAGAAGGTACAGTGGGTTGTCCAGTAATCGGAATGTTGCAGGTTCGATGCAGAGAACGCTGCTGTTGTGTCCTTGGTCGACACTTAACCCACCTTGCGTGCTGGTGGTGTCAGTGTTTGGCAGGCTTCACCTCCGTAAGTGCGCCTCAGGGCAGCATTGACTACATCATAGCTTGTCCCCACCAGTGTGTGAATGTGTGGATGACTGACTACATTGTGAAGCACCTTGAGTGGTTGTAAAACCCTAAGAAGGCACTATACAAACAAAGACCATATACCAATTACCATCATGTTCAAGCATAAAGGTGTCCATTTTTGGTCTTCATACTAGGATACTTTAGGCTGCAGCATGATGATTTTTTCTCTCTCATCTCTGATCTGATCTGTGGCCGCATGTCTTGGACACCTGGGTGAAGAATAGTATGGAGCGGTCAACTGATTATTACCTAGTGGTGATGCTGGTCAGACCTGGGAGGTTCAAATGTATTGTGACCTCTGACAGAACTTCCAAAACCTTCCAGGAGAGATGGGAAACTTTGAGTCCAAGTGGGCCATGTTCTGTGGTTCCATTGTAGAGGCTCAAATTACAGCTGCAGGGCCATCGGTGCCTGTCCTGGTGGCAACCCCTGAACCTCCTAGTGGACATCGGCGGTTAGGGATGATGGTTGACTCCCTCCGATCTGGCCGGAGGCTCTGATCCATTCGGGACCAGAACCTCTCACCACAAGAATAGTTTCTTCCCCTCTGCATTTGGACTCATGAACCACAATCCTAGGCTTGCACACTTCAGTCGCCTGATCCCAGTCACATGACCCTGTGTTGTGTTTGTACCTGAACAGATCCACTCTGATAAGCACCTACACTGTGTTTGTATTAGCTGCTTCTCTAATTGTTACCACTTTACATTACTATTTTATCACGAGTTTATTCTTACTTCTGTAATGAGTTAATTTACATGTTATTTAATAAGTCGTAAGACATAGGATTCCATAGGAAATATGAAATCAACCATATGGATCTGTAGGTACTGGGTCACATTACTGAGCTTTGCTGGTAAAGACTATTCGGGGGTTCTGGAGAGGAAGGTCCGTTGGATTGGGGATCTTAAATTCAGGAGGAGCAATGTGGGTTTTGTCCTGGCCATGGAACACTGGACCAGCTCTATACCATTAAGCCGGGCGTACACTGTGCGACTTTTTCACTCGCAGCGTTCAGCTTCAGCTCAAACTGTACGACTTCCTCGCAGAGCAGATCTCACGAGTCGTGTGCTCACACTGTACGACCCAATTCTCGCATGCGACCTGACTGCTCACACTGTACGTCTGGTAGCAACACGTCGGCCCTAAAATGTGCTAAAAATAGCAGTTTTTACACAACACGTCAGACTTTTTTGTCTTGCCTGTTGTCCTTCGGGAGTGCTGCAGGAGGACACACAGGGATTTATGGGGGTTGGATGAGGAAAACGAAATAAAGAAAGTGAATCTGTGTTTTATGATCAGTTTAATTTGACATGAACACGACAAACACGCTTTCTTGACAATCTTTGTGAGTAAAAAAACGTGTAGAAACAAAAACGAACAGCGTGTGTTATTAGGGAAATAGCGAGCGACCGGCCGGCGTTGATGCAGGATTGCGCGCGCATGCGCCGTGAGCGGTTCTGATACTTTTTGGATCGTAGCTGCTCGCAGCGCCGCTTCAACAGTGCGATACCCTCACGAGGGACGAGCGAAATATTAAACACACCAGAAGTCCCTGCGACCTCACGACTGCTGATCGGCGGCTGGTCACGTGGTGTTAATCGCCTCTCGTAACCCCCTGTACACTACACGACCGCTCGGCGCAAAACTCGCCCCGATGTCGTGGCTTCTCGCACGACTGGAAAATCGGCTCAAAAAAGTGAAAAAGTCGCACAGTGTACGCCCGGCTTTAGGGGTTAAATGGATAATGGATGGGAGCTTGCACAGCCAATCTACATGTGTTTTGTTGATTTGGAGAAAGCATTCAACAGCGTCCCTCGGGGGGCCCAGTAGGGGTACTTTGGGAGTATGGGGTACCAGGCCCTTTGATATAGGCTGTTAGGTCCCTGTATGACTGGTGCCAGAGCGTCATCCACATTTCCAACAGTAAGTCAGGCTCATTTCCAGTGAGAATTGGATTCCACCAAGGCGGCCAATTGTCACCCATTCTGTTCATAACTCTTATGAGCAAGATTTCTAGGAGCAGCCAAGGTGTTAAGAGAATCCGTTTTGGTGACGTGAGGATCGGGTCTGTGCTTTTTGCTGAAGATGTGGTTCTGTTGGCTTCATCAGAGCCTCATCTCCAGTTTTCACTGGAGCGGTTTGCAGCCAAGGATCTCCAGGTCAGGGGCAAGGTCCTGCCTCAAGTGGAGGAGTTTAAGCATCTCAGGGACTTGTTCACAAGTGAGGGAAAGCTGGAGTGAAAGTTCGAAAGGCAGATTGGTGCTGCATCTGTAGTGATGTGGGTGTTGTACTAATCTGTCGTGAAAAAAGAGCTGGGCCGGAAGGGTAAGGCATGGCTTGGGCATCTGGTTAGGATGCCCTTTGCACACCTCCCTTGTGAGATTTTTCAGGCACGACTGGAGGAGACCTAAACGCAGACCCAGGACATGCTGGAGGGACTATGTCTCTCGGCTGGCCAGAGAATGCGAATTCCCCCAGAGGAGCTGGACGAAGTTGCTGGGGAATGGGAAGTGTGAGCCTTTCTGTTTATTCTGTTGACCCCACCCAGGATAAGTGAAGGAAAATGGATGAATGGATGGATGGATGGATGGATGAAATGTTTCTGTACGTTGCTGGTCTCAGTGGTTTTATTCTGCTTCTCTCAGGACAACGTATGTCAACTCTAATGATGAAGTGGTGAGTCACCCATTGCGAATTGCCGTGCACTATTTCAAAGGCTGGTTCCTCATCGACATGGTGGCTGCTATTCCTTTTGACCTGCTCATCTACCGCAATGGAGAGGAGGTACACACATGATGAGAGATGCTTGGCTTATTGTAAAACCCCTGAAAAACATTTATGATAATCTCAAACTTAACTGTGTGTTGGCGAATTTTATCAATCAATCAATCAATCAATCAATCAATCAATCAATCAATCAATCAATCTAAGCTTGATTTAAAAGCCGCCTTCCGCTACTGTCAGGGAGCCCAAGGCGCTCGACACGGTACATGAGATATGTAAATCACAATGAATAAGCAGATAATACAAGCAATTAAAGTAGTGCAAAGAGGGTTAAACATTGAAGTAGAAACAAATAGATAAAAAAGGGATAAAGTGACCAATAAAAACAGGGAATAAAATCAACATAAAAGAGGGCCGACCTCTAACACTTTCAGGGAATGCCAAGTGGAGGAGGTGGGTTTTCAGGCGACTATTAAAACCTGGCAGAGATGGGGACAGCCTAACTGAGGGTGGCAACTGGTTCCAGAGTGATGGAGCTAGGACTGAGAAAGCCCGGTCCCCACGAGCCCGACACCTAGAACGAGGCACAGCGGGCAGGCTTTGGTCAGAGGAGTGCAGAGTGCGTGATGGGGAATGTCTGTTCAGGAGTGTGGCTAGATAGGGGATAGCACCCCCTGGAAGAAACTGAAAACAAAGACCAGGAGTTTAAAGCGAGAACGATAACAGACCGGAAGCCAGTGCAACGAGGCCAGAACTGGACTGATGTGGTCCCATTTCCTGGTCCCAATCAGAAACCTGGCAGTGCTGTTCTGCACAACCTGTAGGCGACACATTGATGACTGACACAGCCCTGCAGATAGAGAGTTGAAGTAATCTAGCCAAGAGACTACAGAAGCATGGAGTACCCGCTCCAGGTGGGCTCTCAACAGCATGGGCTTGATTTTTGCAAGGCGTCTCAGATGAAAGAAACTGGACCGGATCACAGAGTTGATGTAAGCATCAAAGTTAAGTCCAGAGTCAATTTTCACCCCCAAACTGGTGACAACTGGTTTTGAGTAGAGAAAGAAGGCCGAGATCAACATAACGACCCGCAGCCCTGCTGTTGGGGTGAGAAACAATGAGCTCTGTCTTTCCCTCATTCAGATGAATCAGGTTTTAATTACATTACTGTGTATTCCACCTTTCAGAGTATTTAGAGATTTACAGTGAAGTCATACTCATAAAATACATTTATTAAAGACTAAAATCATCCAAGCCCAACAGATCTGACAGACGCAAGATGGTGGAGATTTTTTGCCGTGTTTCACTTTGTAGCACTGGAGAAGTCCAACAAGGTTATTTGTCTACAGCAATGCCAGAGGTCAGCAGACAGTCAAGTGTCCAGCAAGTTGCTGATCCCAGGAATGTTGTGTTCCTCCCTGTACCAAAACAATTCCATGCTTAAGTTCCCTAGCTTTACCATCTGGAATCTCAGTGTAAACAACCTCTGTTGGGTATTTTTATAATTGTACCTTTTTGAGGCCTAAAAGATGCCTATTTTCTGTTATTAACACTTCATGAATCTCTTGTGTTCGCCAACTGTGGCTGTTTATGAAAGGTTGAGCAGAGAAGCTTGTTTGCAGTCAAGGATGTTGATTGTGGATTTCCAGGATGTTGATTGTAGATTTCCAAGGAAACCTCTGTACCTCTGTAACCTGAGAAGGCCCGCCTCCTCCTCCATCCTTTGTGAATAAAGCCCCTGATGAACTGGGAGCACAGGTGAGTGACGGGGGAAAAGCCTCGGAGGAGATTTTTCCCTGCGTTACCTCTCCAATTATTTTGGGGACTCAGGGTAAAATATCTTCCTTGTTGTCATGTGTGTTGATTTTAGGTTTCAGGGTTATGGAGATTAAATATCACTTAACATTTAATTACCTAACATTTGGTGGAGATGCTGGGGATGCAGAGCTGGTGACCTGAAGGCTTTCCCCAGGAACAGAGGGGGGCTGGTTAGCACCATGGAGGGGTTTCTGCGCCCAGCTCTCGCATGACGATTCATGGACATTATAAATAATCTCTCTCTCTCTCTCTCTCTCTGTGTCGTCCTTTAAGGTAATATGGGATAAATCTAAAATTACCTATCAAATGGTGGCCCGTACGGGGAAGGCAGAGCTGTCGATGGGAAGCTGACTTTGGGGAGCCGTACAGGCGCCACTTACCTCATCAAAGCCCGGGGAACTAAAATTGTTTCACCGGCCGGCTTTTTAGCCTTGCAGGCAGATTCCCATTCAAGCTTTCGCCTTCCCGAACTCAGGACGAAAGTACCATGGAGAGTAAGTACTTCATTAATTTGCACCTTTTGTTCTTAACCGTTGGCAGTGTGATTTAAGATTGATTGTGGTGACTGACATTCACGCACAAAAAGACGTTTTTGTGTCCAGCTAGGGGTTGCACATGTGAACCAAAGGGGTTGCACTGAATACGTGAACCGTGGCTGTAGTCCTGGCCTTGAGTTTAGGAGGTTTTAATAAGTCTTGTGTCTGCGCGCAAAGGGCGTCCCGCAGAGCTGTGGGTAGTAATACAGGTGAATGTTCAGGTGCACCTAAAACTGTTGCGAAACCAGCGCTGCATTAAAGCAGCCGCGGATGGTTAATACACGCAGCACAGAGTATATGTGCTGGTGTCGATTGGAGGGGTTGTTGCTAAAATCACACTGCCGCAGGGAATTGTTTAAATATTTTATGGTGCGTACACTAAAATTAATTACCGCTACATTGGCAAAGAATCCTACGTTGGTCTAAATTTGGACTTGCTGTGTGTTATTTGTGATTGTGATTTGTGTGCTGCTGGCATCGTGGACTTGTTGAGAATTGTTTAAAGTTCTCGCTGGTGACTGGCATGTTTTCTGTATTTGCGTTGTATGTCGCTTTGTGATTTTAAATTTGTGACAGAGTGTTGCTCTGTCTGTGTGTGAGTAGAAGTTTTTGGGCCTGACCGGATCTGATCTGATCTGGAGGGTTGTGTGTGTCAAAGTTCTGAATGTGTGTGAGTGAAAGCAGGTTCGTTTCTGTTTGTGTGTGTGTGAGAGAAGTTTTGGGTCAAGGTTCTGAAGCCTGAATGTGTGTCTTGGCCGAGATCTCTGAGTGGGTGGAAGATCCGAATGTAGTTCAGAGGCTTTGAGCCTAGTTTGTTCTGTGTGAAACCTGCAGATTCTAGATAGTCTATGTTCTATGTCTCTGTTTTGTTCTGTGTTGTCTTGTTCTTTATTCTGTACATGTATGAATAATACTAACATCCTGTGACGTGTAAGTGTGGGTCAGAAGGCTCAGTTGTGTGTGTGTGAGTGTGTGTGTGTTTCCTGAGAGATGCTAGAGAAGAAAGGAAAAGGAGGGGTGAAGGTTTGAGGGGGTGTATGAGAGACAGCGAAGTGTTACTTGATGGGGGATGGTTTGGTAAGGCTGCAGGCCACTAGCAAATCAGATAAGAAAGAATATGAGGTTAGAAGGTAAGGCGGATGGAAGAAGGAAAATTACAGGTAGAGAGGGCAATAGAAAGTTTAAAGAAATGTTTTATGGTTGGGTTAGGAAGAAATGAGAGGCTAGTAGAGATGGCTGAGGAAAAGCAGACAGGTGGAGAAAAGAGAGAATTAAAGAAATGGTTGAAGGCACAGAGAAGGCAATAGAAAGTTTAAAGAAATGTTTGAGAAAGAATTAAAAAGAGGGCATTAGAACGTAGGGAAAGAAATGTTTGGTTCTGAAATCTTTATTTTACATTTAATTTCTAAGATCTTAATGGTCAAAAATCTAATTAGAAATGAGCAAAAAGTTCGTGAGTGAGTGAGTGAGTATGTGGCAGACAGAAAGGAGGTGTGATGATTAGCTAAATACTATCTGAAAAAGTCATTGCTCTTATCTGCATGATAACTCTTACTAAACTAGTAAACAAAATGACTTAGAATGTTAAGGAAATACAGTTAAGCCGGGATAAATACATCTGTTAAACTAACTCCTTCAGCTTCACCGGCTGAATGGATGCCCAAATATGATGGAGATGATTCACGCGATTACCTCAAATTAAATTAGATATTCTGGTCTACAGGCCTTTTATTATTTTATTAAAATAAATAAATACCCTTTCTAAAAGATCATGTAGTTTATTAGAAAAAACAAATCATGTAGGTTTAGACCTAAGTAGCCCCCTAATCTTTTATGGATTTGACCCCAAGTTACAGAAGTAGAAGGGAAAATTACAACTTTGACTCAAGATGATCTCTATTTCACACGTGGTAGGCTGTTCCTTTACTGGAATGCAAACTTTAGACAGTTCCATATAGATAGTTTAAACAGCCCCAAACTAAATATTTCAGCCTGGTGTATTAATTTCTTTAGTTAAGTAGACGTGGTTTAATTTGAACATTCTGATTTTATGAGACCTATTGTTTAAATTTTCTAATCTGATAGATGTAAGCTAGTGTTACCATGTTCTGTATTATTGTTTAGACAATGCAGTTTTATTTTAGTGGGTTATTTTCGTAGGTGATAGAAGTCTGCACAATGCAGTACATGAATGCTTTACAGTTTTCGTATCTCAGCATTTTATCATATGACTAAATCATGTTAAACTTGGTGTTCCTGCCATAAGCAGACCTTACTCAGTTGACTGGTTTTACAGGAGGGTGTTCAGATCTTTTATAAACCTCAAAAACTTCCCGTTAAATGTGTCTTGTCGACCATTGAAGGATTAAATTACTGGTGTTACTGGGTTAATGTAATAACATGAAATGGTGATTGAATTAACACAGTGCTAGATTTTTCCTATGCAAATCTTGTTTGAAATGTAAATATCAAATCAGCCCCTGCAGACCATAAATACTAATCGTAGTATTTTATTTTGCTCAACAGTAAGGCTGTTTTGTAACTATTTCAACATTTGAGCTATTATTCCATCATTTATTTTCTGTTTGGGTTATGAGGTTTAATTGACAAATTGGTTAAACTACAAATCTGAGTGACTTCCCTTTGATTAACTTAGATCCTGTAAATGTGTAAGAAGCTAAAGTGGTGTTTTAACTTTTGATTACC